ACAGCTTTGCTTTGCAAAGCAAACTGCTATAAAACAGCTCAGGTAGATGCAGGCATGCAAAGATTCCATGTCTTTGTCTTCAAGAAGAAGTGGAAAATGGGCTCAGATTTCCTCTACTTATTCCCTCTTTTCCTAATCTGCTCTTCAACTGCAGCAGATGAGAAAGCACTGGAGAAAGAGGAAATGGAAATGCTGCAGTACAAAGCATGGTTAATAATATTTATTAATGCATGCGGAGAACTATTAAATTAAAAAAATTAATGGAGGTCAAAAGCCAGCTTCTAATTCTCTTCAGGCAAAGAAAGAATTTATTAAAAAGCAGAAAAGGTATCCACAGAGAAACTTTCCCCATTTGCTTTATGTGCATGAAATATAGACATCATCTTGACATTCAACTGATGAAAGAGAAGAAAAGAAAGTAAAATTAATGTTCAGGCAGTTAACGTTAGCCTCACTGGGAGGGGGGACACGGAACCCAGCACGCTCCATTTGACACGGGATGTTCTGGAGATCTGTTAAAGTTTGCAAAGTGCCATTTCTTAAGGAATCTTTTTTCAGAACCAGCTTTCATCACACAGTATCTTCAGCACAGATAATCTTGGCTGGCGTCATTTTACACAGTGTAGCAAGCTGAAAATCCAAAGAAAGTATATCCAGATCTTCTGGCTGTGTGGATCTGACACAAAAAATTGGAGCACAGAGCAAAAGAGTCATGAGCATGCATCAAACATGCTTTTTATTACTGGAGGCATTCTTCTCTGCTGGCAAAAATATTTGTTTAAATTTCCACATCAAGAGAAGATTCAGGTGTAGTTGATCAAATAACCTAAAGCTGCCTGGTAACTAAAATAAATTCTCAGGAAGCATCACTGGTATTTTTTAATTTTCTTTGTGCTGGAAACATGATTCTCAGTATGGTTCCCCTGCAGAATCTGCTTGAGGAGAGAAAAAGAAAGACGGTTTGAACCAACTGCTACGGAGACAGTATTGTGGGAAAAATATAAAAGAGAATGTTTTAAAAATGTCACAGTTCTGCTGCCACCAAAGCCAGTTGCAAACCTCCATAGTTTTCTCACAGAAACAAAATCTATACATGTGTCTAAGGAAATACAATGGCTGGTGCTGCCTGGATCTTGCTGAAGGTCTCAGAATAAAGGATTTATAGAGGCTTTGGGCAGGACCCTCTGCACAGAGGTGAATTTCTCCCTGGCAGCAAATCAGGACTACACAGGATATTTTTATATATTTTTCTTCGCTTAGTCTTCCTGGATTAAACAGTTTGTGCTTCATCAGTCTTGTTAAAATCTGACTTTATTTCCCTTTGATATTAACCCCCAATGTATCATTTACTCAAGACTGTTCAAGGTTTCATCTTGGGAGTAGGATTTTTCCTTTATCTATTTCCTTATAACTATCATTGATGCTCAGCTGAACATGAGCCAGCAGTGCCCAAGTGGCCAAGAAGGCCAATGGCATCCTGGCTTGCATCAGAAACAGTGTTACAAGCAGGAACAGGGAAGTGATTGTCCCCCTGTAATCAGCTCTGGTGAGGCTGCACCTTGAGTACTGTGTCCACCCGAATTTGGACCCCTCACTGCAAGAAAGATATTGAGGCCCTGGAACGGGTTCAAAGAAGGGCAACAAAGCTGGTGCTGGAGCACAGCCTTATGAAGAGTGGCTGAAGGATCTGGGATTGATCAGTCTGGAGAAGAGGAGGCTCAGAGGAGACCTCATTGCTCTCTATAACTAGTTGAAGGGAGGTTGCAGTGAGCTGGGTATCAGCCTCTTCTGTCGTGTAACTGATGTTAGGATGAGAGGGAACGGCTTCAAGCTGTGCCAGGGGAGATTCAGGCTGGACATCAGGAAATACCACTTCTCTGATAGAGTGGTCAGGCACTGGAATGGGCTGCCCAGGGAGGTGGGGGATTCACCAACCCTGGAGGTGTTCAAGGAACATTTGGACATTGTGTTGAGGGACAAGGGTTAGTGAGAACTATTGGTAATCACTGGATGGTTGGACTGGGTGATCTTGTGGGTCTTTTCCAACCTTAGTGATTCTATGATTCTGTGATTCCATGATCATTTTGTAGGAGTTTGCTGTGATCAGAAGTGTTCCTGAATTCATGAACACACCAGAAGATGGGGATTTTGCACAGTATTTATAATTGTGAACAATTAAATGTGGGGCCTGAGACTGGGAGCAGACCTTTAAGAGCTGAGAAATAGTGCTGGCAAGAAATACAAGGAACTGCAAGGAGCGGTCCAAGTTCAGTCATGTTCAAAATTTACCATACAATAGAAGGGCAGGTCTATCATTTTCACTGTCAGCCTTGGCTTGTATTATGTTAAAAGTAGTAGTTTGAATCCAGAAGGATCAGGCATGCCTTCATCACCTTCCACCATTCTTTGCAGGACCATGTGTCCCCAGTTTAGCATGCAGACATCTCATGCAGGTATATGGATTTCCCCCTCCCTGCTCTTCAGACTCCGAAAAACTTCACCCCAAAATACTGGACTGAAGGCAAGCATCAGCAAATGAAAGTTTTTCCACAAAAATTATCTGAAGGGGTATTCACAGCAAGCTCCCTGCAAATGTGCTAATCCAGTCTGTTGTGTAAATATTACGTCTGGGACTGAGACTGTGCGTGTACAGCACAAGACGAAAAACCTGGGGCGTCAGTCTGCATATGCACAGCAGTACATGCAATAGAACCCTTGGACAAGGGCAGTGGGAAACTATGAATGTCACCAATGATGTCACAGGCATCTCAGGGCACAAGGAACACTCTGAAATCATGCCTCCATGGCATTCCTTGGACAAACTTTAAATGCTGGTCTTCTCTGGAAGCTTTGTGCAGAAGCAGAAAGAAATCAGAAAATCTCTTGTACTTCATTTATATGAATTGAGTGCTGTTTCATCAACAAAGTGTGTTTGAGCACCCACAACTTAACAGGATTTAGAGATGTTGCATCAGAAAATTAAACATCCCAGTCAAGTTGTCTTTATTTCACGTCTATTTTCACAGAACCTCAGTGTGACTGAGGCTGGCAGGGACCTTTGGGTCCATCTGGTCCCACACCTGCACAGGTTTCTCAGGCTCATGTCCAGGCATCTTCTGAAAATCCAACCTCTGAAAATAATCAGAGTCAGGCATTCCAATAAATGCAGTATATCTCAACAGTAAAGCTCATTATTATTTTTTGAATATTTTGCTTGGGTTTGTGTAGTGTCAGAAAGCAATGGCCAACTCCTGCCCCTTGGATTCCAGACAAATTCTCCTCCTTACAAGATACATGAGGTGGCAAGAAAGATAGGTCTGGGAACAAATAATTCACCAGCAAAAAAAAAAATCTGCTGTAGAGGGTTGCCCTTAATGGTTCTCTCTGTCCTACTTGTGTGGGATTTTTCCATTACTGTACAAGAGAAGACATATGAGACACTGTCTGGCCTCAGAGATGCCACCACAGTTCATTACCTCCTGCTTCAACTTTACAGTCTCTCAGCTGTGTGTTTGTTTCTTCAACAGTTCTCCAACAAGTATGCAAAAGCGATATCGTAACCATCCTAAATATTAGCACGGCACCCAAACAAGGATTATTCCAGTGCGAAGCAATATGTGAGAAAATAGAGAACCCACGTGAAATCTTTTAATGTCCAAATGTGTTAACAAGTCACAAATATACAGACACACACATACAAAACTGCATGAAAGAAAAAAAAACCAACCTACCACTTTGAATTTTTGCTTTCCAAAAGATTGAAATATCATAGCGTGGCCACTGCGTATTTTCTTTTACCAACTGCTTTACATCTTTGTCACTGTTCCCTGCTCGCAATAGGGTAAATTACATAATTTTTAAAGTATTTGTCATCATATTCTGGAATAAAGCAAACTGAAAGTAAAGGTTTTTCTCTGTAAAGCTGTATTAAGTGTGTATGCATATATATATATATACATATATATATATATTCCAAAACTAACATTAGCTGTCATTTTTTTTCTAAATACCTTACATTTCTTTTGAGGTTATGCTTGGGAAATATTCTGAATTACCTGCCAGGAAATTCACATTTTTCTATCCAAAGCCTCCAGGCTGCAGTTTCATTCTTCCCTTTGTTGAACCATCTTTGTCCATAACACCTCCCTGGCAGCACCTTGCTGCCCAAAGGGCAGGTTCCACCTGTGGCACTTCCCAACAGCCCTTGTTCAGGGGAGGAGTGGCAGGGACAGCTCCCTTCCAGGTTTTAGTTCCTGGAAAACATTTATGTACACCCCTGGTCTATCCTTCTCGATTTTCTTTTTAGTTGTTTAGAGTTCGCCAGACTGGGAAGAGTTTCACAATCAGACTAAAAAAATCCCCAGATCTCACCTTTAATTCTCTCCCTCAATGGTTTCACATTTAGTATTTTTCTATATAGTTTTGTAACCCTATATATATTCTTTAAAGTCATGTTTACCACCCAATGTTTATAAGGAATTTCAGCATTGTTTAGTTGTTTAATTGTTTGTTTGCTTGAATAACAAAATACATGCATTTAAGCATTATTATATATATATTACATATATATTTATTATTATTATAACATTATTATATTATACATTAATTTAAGCATTATTGACTTTTCTGACTATATCTTTATGCTCCATAATAAAACCCATCTCTTTAAGACCTCTAGCCACTCACACATCCATTCACACTCCTTACCTGCAACCTTTTCTTCATGTCACTAATTACTAGATGGTTTGGTTGTTTCTGTTTGCTTTTCAAACCTGTTATTGGTAAGTGAATGTGAACTTTTCTTTGTATTGAACTGCTTATGACAATAGACTCATGTATCACAACTATTGAGTCACGGCCTGAACCAGTGATTGATCGCCCGAGGCAAGCATTGAGTCAGCCATGGGAGCACAGGTGAAGGCAATTCAGCCATGTGACCAGAAGGAGTGGAGCCTGGCTGCACCTCTCCTAGACCCCATTTAAGGGCTGATTGTTAGTGGGGAAGGGTCTCTTTCTGGAGATTCCTCCTTTTGGAGTTTTCTACTGTAAGCCTAGGATGTGGGTGAGCATTTCATTTTTGATTGTTTCTTTCTACCATGGTAATATTTCTAACTATAACCCTGTAAAATACCATCCTAAGCATGCCACTCTTCTAACTGTACATTTGTTAATTGTGCTCTCATAGAAATTTCTTCTGTCACATTTCCTTTTTGTGATAGAGTCCTCTATCAAATTAGCACCTCTCCATACACAGGGAACAATTTACAGTTTAATCAGATAATTCTGTTGTGAAGATTTAGCTATCTATGTCTGTTTTTCAAGCATTGCCAGATAAGTGGCTTGGACATCCTCTTTTTATTCTCCAGAATTATACTTCTGCATTTTCTCCTGGTGCCACTCTGCATTTCTGGAACTTGGCAGGTAGGCACCTGAGAAGGGCGTATGTCTGTATTCAATAAAATGTTTTTGTGATGTCCTTTGCATTCCTCTGGAAAAAAAAAAAAAAGTCTGTGTAGAGTTACGTGCCACTGATGTTAATGTAACTGGAGTTACATCACTCTAGCACTTGCATAAATGGCCTAATTTAATAATAATTATTATTGTTGTTGAATATCTAATATCTTCTCACTGATTTGAATGAATTTGAATTCTCAGATCAAACAAATTACATAAAAACTCCAAGGTGAACTCTAGAATATATAATTAAATCTAATCAGAAACCCAAGATGTAACTTTTTATTTAGCAACACTTTATCAAGGTCTGTTATTTTATTATTCATGTCCATCCCAAGCAAAGTATGAGATGATGTAGCTGCAACTTTTGTCTGTGTCATTGTACAATGATATGTAATTTGCACTCAGCACGTTAAAATTTATTAAACAAAATTGAAATTACTTCCATTATAAAGATGTAGCAACAATGTTTCAACTTGCTTCATTTTTTTAATTAGTATTTTAATAGGTCATTTTTCCCACTATTTTCCCAGCTCTGTTTCAGATTTGAAAAAGTACTTGTGATGAGCATCACTTGTCTGAAGGTGACGAATATAAACAAGCATAAAAGCGATGCTGGATAATAAACTATGGGATGCTTTCCCTATATGTCTTTTTGTGAAACATTTGTTGAATAACGTTTGTTTATCCTGTTGGATTTGTTTATGCATTTTTTTCATAGAAAATGGCTAAAATTTCAGCAGGAAAAATAAGAACAGACTTTAATAAATCGCATTGTTCAAATGTAATCTTACAGGCAAAGTCCTCTAAGGTATTTAATAAAGTAGGCCAGAGAACTCTCCTTTGTGGATAAAACTCTGTTGCAACTTCCAAGTTGTTGGTGAGATAGATCTATTACATTATTAGCTCTGGGGTAAGGTTTCCCAGTGCTGCTAAAATATGCTCAATTTAAATTCTATATTATATCACCCTGTCTGAATAATTTTATATCTATATTTTACTTTTAAATGCTTAGCTGACTCATGTATTTTAAAGAATTCCAAACATATTTTAAAAAATAATATACATCTTCATGTTACCTTTCTTTTTTATTACATTTAACTAGAATGTAAGGAGGATCAAGGCCAAGGTTAAAACTGGAGGTTGCACTATATTTACATTTTGCTCAATACCAGCACTTAAGAACAGAGGCCAGGCATTTAAAAATAGGCTGAAGGGGATGAAGAGATTTAGAGGGGAATGCCTGGCTGTCTCAGAAAATATCAGGTGAGTCACAGCTCTGCCACTGCAATGAGCTCTGGTCAGGGAAATTTGTACAGTTTAGCTCAGAAAAGGAAGGCAGCAAAAATACAGAAACAAAGCAGGGCTTTCTTTCCATAGTGTTAAGAAATCCTCCATTTAGACCTGCATCTGCAGAGCCTCCCAGCAAATCCATGCACATCAGCACAGGACTCTGGCACCAGGTTCTGTCAAGGGTGGATCTGGTCAGTAGCTCAGGATGCTGCCTTCCGGTCATCCATCTGTGCCTCTTCTGTGCCAGAGGCTATGGACAAGGCACGTATGTTCCTATACCCTCAAAGACTGCTTATTTGTACTCTAAGAAACCAAGAAGAAAGTTGTTTATGTTACTTGTCTCTAAAAAGGCAACAGGGAAGGCATATACAGTTGTGTCAAAGAATCCTAGATCTAAGGCTAATTCAGAAATTATTAGGAATGGATCTGGGAAATTTTCAAAAGTGAAATATTTTTGTTTGCTTTTCAGCTAAGATAAATTTAAAGTGGTGTTAGATCTGAAAGAGGAAGATTTCTTCCTCCAAAGCCCCCAACACACCACTGTAAATTATTCTAACAGAGGTTTCAATAAAACTCCAATATGTGTAAACTTCTCATAAGGAAAGGCTATATATAAACTCAACATCCTGGCCAAAGTTCAGCTCAGGTAATAAAACTGCTTTCTTATCCAAGCTAACTCACTTACAAAGAATGTACTTCTCTAGTTTTGTACTAAATCATTCCAGATTAGTGCCCAAAGGTGACTCTACTTTCATTAAAAATGACAACAGCAAAGAAAACAATTAAAATACTTGAAAATATATTGTTCAGATTGGACCAGGTAAAAGGCAAAAAGAAGAAAAATAAAATAAAAAGCAATGAAGGGAAAGAGGAGAGAAAGGAGAGAAAAGAGAATCTCAACAGTTAGTTTTAAATCTCAGCTCTTTGTTAAACAGTTGCCTTATAGCCAGGCTCTTGACTCATGATAAATGTGAGTTCCTTCAGGATTGCCACTAACCTAGAAGTCCAAAATGACCCCTGCTTTCTAAATCTATATCAAGTGGAATAAATGCCTTCTTCCACTTGGGTAGAAATAACTTCTCTCTGTGCTTTAGACTTCACATTGTTAGCACATAATTTTTTTTTTTTTCACTTCCTGGGGCTACTAGTGGCTAATGCCATTTTTTCCACCCTTTTTCTTTTTTCCCTTTGTTTCAGTAGTTCATTCCCTATAGGCAATGCCAGTATCAAGTCAAAATGTGATTCAAGCCCACAAAGTGGTGCATTATCAGCTGGGAGGTGGGGCTGATCATCTAATTACCTTCTGACACTTCCATGGTCTCTTTTTCATCCAGGTACAATAAGTAGAGTATTTCAATATCAGTTCATCCTCAATTTAGGCCTGTTTTGAAAATACAAAAGAATCTTAAGTGGTCTGTCCACATCATTGAAATACCAACCTTAGTGGGTACTTTGAAAACTCAAAGGCTTTACAAGATGAATAGCAAACTGTGGATGACAGCTCCCGTGGAGCCATTATTGAATTGCAGCAGTGATGACTGCATTGCTTTGGATTTAGATAAAAGACTCCATACAAGACAAATGGTAGGAGGACATCAAACAAGACTGTGTCCATGCAGTGACAGAAGCAATCCAATTGAAGAAGCTGTTGATTTCCCCAAGGCAACTTACTATTTCTTCTTGAGTAATTTATATTAAGCAACTAAAGATTGTATATTCATCTTCTATTTACACTTTTCTCTAAAAATACTGCTTCTAGTTGTCAAATAAGAGATTTACTTAAAGCATTAACTGGAAAGGAAATACCAGAATTGGAACTTGTTATATTTTTGCATCTGTGTTTTATTTAACCTCAGTATCGCTGTCTAAAGGTTATAGACTGGGAGTAACAATCAATTCTGATCACATAAAAAGATTAGTCAGCAAATCAATTACATACATGGTAACAGGAAGCACCATGCACTCAAGACAAGAATGAATACAAAGGGTACAGATAAACATCGTCACCTTTATTTAGATGAAAGCTGATTCTAGAGCAATTCCAGTATCTCTTTAATAATGCATGAACCTTCTGGAGTCTTAGTTTGCTACACAAGTGTAATGTAGATCTTGAATAAGTTTCAAAATGTGACCTGTTTGTACATAAAGTAACTTTATACAAAAATGTCATGACTGGGGTTTGCTAACAGTTGTGCAAGCTGTGTCATGGAAAAAATACTAACTGCTTGTGTAACTTTAAAAAAAAAAAAGTCTACATTAGTATTTGAGTCTTCCTTTCACTCCCACATACCGTGCCTTGCTCATTCACAACATGGATTGAGTTTGGCTCACACAAACCAGCTTGTTTCCTAACAAATTATGGATATCTGGTAAGCAAGCACACATTACAAACTGCAGCTGGGAATGGCATTCAAACTGCAGGGCTGGTCTGCAACTTTTCCTGGGCAGAAGTGCGTGAAATGCCTATAATACTTACTGATTTGCTACATGGATCCCCTTTTATTTGTCCATCATAATTGCTAAAAGAAACAAAGACTTGTTTTTCTTGTAGTAGAAGTACAGATGAGGGTTAGTATTTAGTTTACTGTCATTTCTTAAAGGTATATATTAGCATTTTGCAGATAAATTTTCTTTTGTGGGCGTTAAGAGACATATATATAAAACAGGTGTACATAAAAGCATCTAAAAATGAATTACTACACTGCTTATATATGGTTTCCTTGTATCCTATTTTTCAAAACTTACTATGCTTGCTTTCTGCTTAAAATCAGTTCTAGTTGCCATCCACTTATTTTCTTCTTTTCCCTGATGTGTCTTGGCATGTGGCCCTGGCAGCTCATTATTTAGACAGGTATACTCTTCACTGAGTGAAAAACTGACTTGATGGCTGGACCCAAAGAGTAGTGGTGAGTGGAGTTAAATCCACTTAGTAATCAGTTACTAGCGATGTTCCTCACGGGTCAGTAGTGTGCCCAGGTGGCCAAAAAGGCCAATGGAACTCTGGCTTGTATCAGAAATAGTGTACTCAGCAGGACAAGGGAGGTGATCATCTCCCAGCATTCAGCTCTGCTTAGGCCATGCTTCATGTACTGCGTTCCTCACTACAGGAAAGACACTGAGGCCCTGGAGCATGCCCAAAGAAGGGTAATGATTCTGTGAAGGGTCTGGAACACAAGTCTTGTGAGGAGCAGATGAGGGAACTGAGATTGCTTATTCTGGAGAATATGAGGCTCACGGGAGATCTTACTGCTCTCTACAACTATTTGAAAGGAGGTTGTGGCGAAGTGGGGAACAATTTCTTCTCCCAGTTAACTAGCAATAGTTTGAGAAATAATGACCTTAACTTGTGCCAGGGGAGGTTCATGTTGAATATTAGGACAACTTTCTTCACTGAAAAAGGCACTGGAGCAAGCTGCCCAGGGAAGTGGTGTAGTCATCATCCTTGGACATTTTCAAAAAAAGTGTAGATGTGGCACTGAGGGACACGGTTTACTGGGAAATGGTGTGATTGTTTGACAGTTGAATTAGATTACTTCAGAGGTCTTTTCCAACCTTAATGATTCTATCATTCTATATTTCTCTCTACCTGCTTTCCTCCTCTTCTCTTCTAACTTCTCCTTTCCCAGATCCTTCCTATTAAACCTAGGTCTCGGTGAATTAAAATAGCCCTCAAA